AAAAAAAAAAAAAAAAAAAAAAAAAACCTGTATGGATGTCTGTACACTGATTTTAAAGCACCAGACCTTATGATAATCAAAGCAACATTGGCCATTTCTTCATTAGGCCAACAACTTTGTTGTGTAAATGTTGCTAAAACCTTCTCAGCAGACTTTTAAACCCCACAGCATGTACCAAATTACAGTGCACAAGAAACAAAAGCCATGATCAATGCATATTTGGAATTTCTTTCAATAAACATAATATTATCTTTTTTTTTTCTAAATGTGTTAGGCACCAAAGCCAGGCCCCTATGTGAAGGAGATGCAGGACGCTGCCATGTTTTACACGAACCGTGTGCTCAAGGATTACAAGGAAAAGTATGTGTCTGTCTGTGATGTGAAGCAACTGGTCTGTACACCTGCAAAATGGTATGTCACTCATTTCCCCATCTGCCTTATTGTCTTATATTTAGAGATAAGATGCATGTGGAGTGGGTCAGTACCTATGTGTCCATTTGGACTGAGCTGCAGGCCTACATCAAGCAGCACCACACCACTGGACTGAGCTGGAGCAAGACTGTAAGTCACATTCTTGTGTGCTCAGTTTGTCCCACATGCTTCTGAAAACAAATTTCCCAAATATTTCAACATTTTGGTTTCACAGGGTCCGGTTGCCTCTGGAGGCGCCCCGAGTGGAGGAGCACCAGCCCCACCTCCCCCAGGTCCTCCTCCACCCCCCATGAACTTGGACAAATCATCAAGTGGAGACTCTGGAGCGACCAGTCATAATGCTCTCTTTGCATCCATCAACAAGGGAGCTGATATTACTAAAGGTATTAACTGGATCCTTAACTTGATGTAGTTCTACAAACAGATATGACGTTGTTTGGGAAAATAGGTTCAAAATGTGTCCAGTAGAGCCTACAGTGCACAAAATATTCAGTGCCAATTTTATTGCTTTTTAAATGATGAAAGGTTCATTGCTAAACATTAAACAGTTATTTTGATAGATTGGAAATTATGCAGATTGTTTCACTTGATGCACTGCAATGGGAGCATCAGTGTGTGTATATATATTTATAAAGGTCAATGCAGCCTTCATGATAAAAAAAGGGCACAGTTAGTGCCTTTACTTGTGGCGTTCACTTGTGCACCTCCATGAGACTGTAGGGTGTCTCATTTGTTATTTATTATTATTATTATTTTTATTAATATTAAATAACCATTATAACAGTGTTCTTTTAGTATCATTGTGATACTATTGTTTTTAATTTTTTAGTTTAATATTTTTGTTTTTGTAATTTTAGTAGTTTGTCTATATAGTTTTTATTAACTACCTGAAATAAATTTAAATATTTTTTATTTGTTTTATTTCAGTTAAGTCTTATTTCAAGTGATGAAAAATTATGGTTTCAGTTTTAGCTAACTAAATTAACCCTGATTATAACCGCTGTAATAAACAATTTATTAATATTTTATTTGTGCATTTGAAAACCACTTTTTATTCAAAGTAACTTTTTCTTATTTATTTATTTTTCTTTTAGATTTTGCCGTAATTACAATAATTCTCACAGTTTTATTGAAGACTTGTCTTTAATACTCCTGTATTTTCACTCACTTTAAGGACTGAAGCATGTGTCTGATGACCAGAAGACCCACAAGAATCCTACACTCAAAGTCCAAGGAGGTCCTTTGCCTTCTGGGCCCAAACCCTTCGCTGCTCGGCCCACAGCAGCAGCCAGCCCAGCCCGCACTCTGCCCCCAGTGCTGGAGCTGGACGGCAAGAAATGG